TATATATATATATATATATATATATATATATATATATATATATATATATATATATATATATATATATATATATAGGGAGGGGTTCAATAGAGAACCAATATGAGTGGAGGAACCAAGGAACCTATTAAGATGGTTGGATCAAAAAATTAACAGCCATTGGATTTGAGATGTAAAAGTATGAAAAACAATAGTGTCCAACTGATTATAACCAAACACGTAACTTAAGGGGGCATTTTCGTCAACCTAAAACTTATTAACTCTCACTGTTAATTAACGACGTTAGTTCATCAGTTTCACATATCAGTGAAATCGATTTTACCCTCTCATTGAAACCGATCTTTTACTTCACCGACGAACATCGATTTCTAACGAATCTCCGGCGACGATTCAGCCAATATCCACAGTGAATCTTCCCGAAAAGTTCGTCAAAATGAATCTTAAAGGTATATTTGACTGCTATTCATTTCCGATTATCTCATTTAATGCATTTTCAACATTATATTTTTTCGATTGATAAATTTCAAAATGACAAATCTAAACTATATGTTACATTATGTATTCGATGAATCTGTGAATACACTATTTTATTAACAAAATCGTTTTAGACTGATTTGAAACCCTCGGATGATGAACTTTTAATAATTTGTATACATAACGAAAACCTAATGATTTAAATTTCTTGAAATCGATACAGAAATCATGAATATCTATATTACAAACTGAAATTTCCTAAAACTTTGTGAATCTAACTCGAATCTGAGTTTATTAAGTAAATCGAAACCCTAATTTCATGAATTTTTGAGAATTTGTATAATTACCAAAAACCTAATGATATAAATTTCTTCAAGTCGATACAGAAATCATGAATATCTAAATTACAAACCGTAATTTCCTAAAAACTTTGTGAATCTAAGTGGTTTCTGAGTTTATTCATTAAACTGAAAAACTAATTTCACATTTTGAATTCACCGTGTGCTTTGTGATTTACATTTGATTATTTTGAAAGGATTCAATGTTTCTGAGTATTACATTATTTGACAATTCACAAAGTGAATCATGATTATATATCAATTTAACATATCATTTAATCAAATTGTGAATTCACAGGGTGATTTATCATTTACATTTGATTATTTCATCTTGTGAAATTTTATGATGCATCTATGTTTAATTGATATTGTATCTCTTAATGTGTTTCTCATTGTAAATTTATAAAGAGTTGCATTGATAATGTTTTGATTCAAACTGAATTCACAATGTGAATAAATATTATGTTAAATTCATTTGTAATCCTGATTCACATTGTGAAAAATATGAATAAATCATAACTTTCATACAATGAAATTGATGTTTGAACTAATTTGTTAATCAAAAACAGGAAATGAAGAAAAGAACAATGAAAAAAATGATAATAAGAAAAGAATGAAATTGACAAGAAATCTAAAAGATGTTCTACCTTCAACTACAAGTGAAAAAATTGAAGATATTCAAGATAAAAATAAAGGTTAGAACATTCGCATTCAGATTAAAATAACTAGTTATCTAATCATATACTACACACTTATTTAAAAAAAAATTTGCAAGTTGATCAACACTTTTGTTTGTATTCACTATGAACAAAATAGTTGTAAAAATTCTCAATATGTGTATGTGTACATCACTTGGTGAACCTCAAACTCTTTTGTTGTTAAATGCATAAATTCACAATGTGAATCTTGGATGTATGTCTCACATTCACATAGATTCACAATGTGAATCTCTTTTTTTTTTTGCAAGTTGATCAACACTTTTGTTTGTATTCACTATGAACAAAATAGTTGTAAAAATTCACCATGTGTATGTGTACATCACTTGGTGAACCTCAAACTGTTTTGCTGTTAAATGCATAAATTCACAATGTGAATCTTGGATATATGTCTCACATTCACATAGATTCACAATGTGAATCTCTTAAAAAAAATATATTTTTTTTTGCAAGTTGATCAACACTTTTGTTTGTATTCACTATGAACAAAATAGTTGTAAAAATTCACCATGTGTATGTGTACATCACTTGGTGAACCTCAAACTCTTTTGTTGTTAAATGCATAAATTCACAATGTGAATCTTGGATCCATGTCTCACATTCACACAGATTCACAATGTGAATCTCTTAATTTTTTTTTTTGCAAGTTGATCAACGCTTTTGTTTGTATTCACTATGAACAAAATAGTTGTAAAAATTCTCAATATGTGTATGTGTACATCACTTGGTGAACCTCAAACTCTTTTGCTGTTAAATACATAAATTCACAATGTGAATCTTGGATGTATGTCTCACATTGACATAGATTCACAATGTGAATCTCTTAAATTTTTTTTTTTTTTTGCAAGTTGATCAACACTTTTGTTTGTATTAACTATGAACAAAATACTTGTAAAAATTCACCATGTGTATGTGTACATCACTTGGTGAACCTCAAACTCTTTTGATGTTTAATGCATAAATTCACAATGTGAATCTTGGATCCATGTCTCACATTCACACAGATTCACAATGTGAATCTCTTTAATTTTTTTTTTGCAAGTTGATCAACGCTTTTGTTTGTATTCACTATGAACAAAATAGTTGTAAAAATTCTCAATATGTGTGTGTACATCACTTGGTGAACCTCAAACTCTTTTGATGTTAAATGCATAAATTCACAATATGAATCTTGGATCTATGTTTCACATTCACACACATTCACAATGTGAATCTCTTAATTCTTTTTTTTTATTTTTTTTTTTGCAATTTGATCAACACTTTTGTTTGTATTCACTATGAACAAAATAGTTGTAAAAATTCTCAATATGTGTATGTGTACATCACTTGGTGAACCTCAAACTCTTTTGCTGTTAAATGCATAAATTCACAATGTGAATCTTGGATGTATGTCTCACATTCACACAGATTCACCATGTGAATCTCTTAAATTTTTTTTTTTTTTTTTTTTTTTGCAGTTTGATCAACACTTTTGTTTGTATTCACTATGACAAAATAGTTGTAAAAATTCTCAATATGTGTATGTGTACATCACTTGGTGAACCTCAAACTCTTTTGATGTTAAATGCATAAATTCACAATATGAATCTTGGATCTATGTCTCACATTCACACAGATTCACAATGTGAATCTCTTAATTTTTTTTTTTTTTTTTGCAATTTGATCAACACTTTTGTTTGTATTCACTATGAACAAAATAGTTGTAAAAATTCTCAATATGTGTATGTGTACATCACTTGGTGAACCTCAAACTCTTTTGCTGTTAAATGTATAAATTCACAATGTGAATCTTGCATGTAAGTCTCACATTCACACAGATTCACAATGTGAATCTCGTAAAAAAAATTTTTTGCAAGGTTATCAACACTTTTGTTTATATTCACTATGAACAAAATAGTTGTAAAAATTCACCATGTGTATGTGTACATCAATTGGTGAACCTCAAACTGTTTTGCTGTTAAATGCATAAATTCACAATGTGAATTTCTAAAAAGTTTTTGCAATTTGATCATCACATGTTCAATTTTATATTGTTTAACATGTATTTCGTAATACTACTTATATTTTTGACATTGATATTAAAAATTTCACATTGTGTAGTTGAAGGTTCAAAAAAATATACCAAAAACACAGCAAGGAGAACCGTGGTGGAAATAGTTAATAAATTAAGAAAAATGAAGATGAAAAGACTATTGATGAAAATGTTGAAAAAGAAAAAAGTTTAGAAAGTGATGAGATTCAAAAAAGCAAAGAAAAAAATTGATGAAGCAAGATGAATATGTTTTGAAGACACTTGAAAAGAAAACAACACAAGGTTAGTATTTATAAAATTATAATTTACTTTAATATATAAAATCAGTTATCTTTAATTTTTTTTTAAATGAATAGAAATCATACGGATCCCAAGATTACAAAAAACAAAAAAGAAAAAGTCGATGAAGCAAGACAAATCTGTTTTCAAGACACCTGAAAAGAAAACAACTCAAGGTTAGTATTTATAAAATTATAATTGAGTTTGATATTATAAAATTAATTCTTATTAATTTTGTTAAAACATGAACAGAAATCAGACAGAGTCCAAGACTTAAAATGATTGAATACAAAAAATTTGTGACTCATATTAAAGTTGATGATAGCCTTGTAAAGAAAGAATCTGATGAAAAAGTAACAGGTTTGTTTATTACTATTCACATGTTTAAATTACAAAGTTATAAACAAATTGACATGTTTATTTTATGTATTATATTATATTTTGCAAAACAAATTCACATGTGAATTTCTTGTATTGGTAGTTATTTTATAGTATATATGTTATATTATGAGAAACTTATGAAAATTATTGACTAACAGGAAAAAGAAAAAGAAAAACAAAGACTTTCGAAGTAGTCAAAGAAAAAAAAGGAAAAGTGCAAATAAATCCAAATGACAGAGTATCTTTGAGAACAAGAATGATCCCAAAGAAGTTTTATGATATTGTTAAATCTTTAAACAAAGAACAGAAAAAAGCTGTTAGAGAAATGGGATTGGGATCTTTGCTGAGAATTGCAACCAATGGAATTTCTGGGAAATTGGCACGTTTTGTTGTGAATTCATTCAATCCATCAGATATGAAAATCCATCTACCTAATGCGAAGATAGACATAACACCAGAACTTGTTCATGATTTGCTTGGAATTCCTCTAGGTGGAAAAGATATATATAACACTGATCAATGTGAAGGAAAAGAATTAATGGATTGGAAGCAACAATACAATTTCAAGGCTATGAGACCATCAGATGTTGAAGAGAGAATTAAAGAATCATCAGATTCAGGGATTATTTTCAAAACAAACTTTTTATTACTGTTTGTTAATACCATCTGTGAACAGAATAAGCCTGGAACTTGTAAGACAACAGTATTGCCACATTTGTTAGGCAAAACACCTATGAGAGAAATTGACTGGTGTGGTTTTATAACCAATTGCTAATGTCAAAGATGACGTGGGATGAAACCGATAGAGGAAACTACTATTGTGGGCCACTTCTTGTATTATTGGTAAGGAAAATTCTTATAATTAACACTTTTATTTATATTATTATAAGAAAACTAATTAATCATAATTTTATTTACATAAACAGTTAGCTTATTTGGAGTTTATGAGGAATGATAAGAATGAAAAAAGACAAATACATGCACTACATTTTTGGGATTATGAAATGATGGTGAAAAGGGAAAAAGCTGAGTTAAAGAGTGGTGACTTTGGAACTTTGGAATGGAATGATGATGTTATAGAGAATGATGAAGAATCTGACACCGATGAAAATGAAGATATGAAACTCGATGTAAGTTAATAATCTATATATTTAAAAAAAATTGAAGTTATATTACAGATATATGTTATAAAATTGTAGTTAAGATGAAATTCATAAAGTGGTTCACATTGTGAATATAAAAGTGTATTTTATTACTTCTCTATAATAAATTCACAAGTGAATATGTAATTTATTAAAATGCATTAAAAATGTGATACCTCATCAATGCATTCATATTCTGGAACTGTAATTTATTATAGAAGAAAGTTAAAAAAATTCATTTTTATTGACATTTTTTATCTCATTTTGCAGGAATTGGTATTCAAAGCGAAAAAGAATTACAAAAAACTAGTGAATGATAAACTGAAGTTTGGAAAGTTAATTGAGTTTTCAACAACAAAATTCACAGAAAGCGATGAGTTGAAAGATATGAAGAAAGTCTTTGAACAAGAATTCATTTATAAAACTCAAAATGAAGATGAAGAAAAAAGCGATGAGAATTTGAATGAACATGAAATAAAGAATCAACCAATCATGGTAACACCAGAAATTTGTACAATGATCCAATAGTGCATGAGATTGCTGATTCTATTCAATGTATTTTAAATTTTGATGATTATGATGATTTTGAAAATGTAAAAAGTTTTAGAGAACAAAAAAATAAAAAAACATTAATAGATGATAAAAAAAATAAAAAAAATAAAAAAATACTAGAAAATCATCAATGCCTAGTTTTTCACTTGGACTTGGTCTTGGTCTAACACAAGAGTTTCAGGAAGGAGATGAAAGCAGTGAAGATGAACACATGAAGAAAGAAATAAAAAATGAAAAACTTGATGAAGGATAAAGTTATGATTCAGAAGAAACAGAATGTGACAATAATATCTTGGGAATTGAAGATGATGAAGACAAAAAAAGAGAAGTAGGAAAAAGATTAAAAAACCATCACTGAAGCTATCTTCTCCTTATAATAAAAAAGAGGTTTGTGCATCAAAATTTGTAGATCCAGATGAAGTAAAAGTATCAGATAGAATTTTTTTCAGAATTGGTAATAGCAGGTAATAATTCATGTTATCTTTTATTTAAATACAATAGTATATAAATACAAATACAAATTAATTTTCTATTAACTGCTTTTTTGTTTTATTTGATTACAAATTAAGTGAGAATGTATTTCAGACTAAGAGAGGTTATGTGCTTGGAAGAGGAATGGTTGAAACAATGCAGGCAGGATTATGGGTACATGCACATGTCATTGATGCTTGAACTGATATTTTGAACTATGAAGAAAAGCTTAAATCAAATTCTACAGTGAATCGGTATTTCTTTGATACATCAATGGTGGTAAGTTAATGTTGATAATATAATAAATAAAATTTTCAATAGTTCTGAATAAGTAACAAAATAGTTGTAAAAATTCACCATGTGTATGTGTACATCACTTGGTGAACCTCAAACTCTTTTGCTGTTAAATGCATAAATTCACAATGTGAATCTTGGATCCATGTCTCACATTCACACAGATTCACAATGTGAATCTCTTAAATTTTTTTTTTTGCCAGTTGATGAACACTTTTGTTTGTATTCACTATGAACAAAATAGTTGTAAAAATTCTCAATATGTGTATGTGTACATCACTTGGTGAACCTCAAACTCTTTTGCTGTTAAATGCATAAATTCACAATATTAATCTTGGATCTATGTCTCACAATCACACAGATTCACAATGTGAATCTCTTAAATTTATTTATTATTTTTTTTTGCAAGTTGATCAACACTTTTGTTTGTATTCACTATGAACAAAATAGTTGTAAAAATTCTCAATATGTGTATGTGTACATCACTTGGTGAACCTCAAACTTATTTGCTATTAAATGCATAAATTCACAATGTGTATCTTGGTTGTATGTCTCACATTCACACAGATTCACAATGTGAATCTCTTAATTTTTTTTTTTGCAGAAAATAAAATTCACACAGTGAATCCTATTATAATTCACAGTGTGAATAATTTTAAATTTAAAATTTACTTTATTGTGAATTTAACAATTTACTCTTTAAAATTTGATGTATATTTAATTTTTTTTGCAGAGACAGTTCATATTTGACAAATATATCCCTTTCAATGAAAGATTTGATAAATTTGAGTCAAATATCAAAGATGCAATGAAAAAGGACAAAGAACTTCTGACATTTGAAAAAGTTCACTTGGTAATAAACTGTTCTTTTTGTTGAATATATTACATATTTTAAACAAAGTTTAACAATTTAAATTATTAAACAGGTGTTTTTCCCAGTTCATCAAAAAAATCACTTTTACATCATCTGCATAAACTTAGAGGAACCAGCGGTTGATGTCATTGACAATAGGAATTCAGTTGCAAAGTTTCCTAGAGCTTATCGTGATGCACCTAATGAATTGGTAAGAATAATAAATTTACATTATAAATATAAGTATTAATATACTAATAATCTAAATAAAATAATAATTATAGAAAATGACAATTTCTTTTTTGCAGAAAATACTTTTTAGTAGGTACTTGATGAGGGTCAATCACAAATCAGCTTCAACTTTGGAGGGTGTTGAACCAGAAAGGGTGAACATGAATTGGCGCACGAGGGATAATCATGTTGACTGTGGAGTTTTTTGCATGCGTCATATGGAGACATATATGGGAGATAAAACAGTAAATTGGACATGTGGGTTGCCAAAAGAATCAAAACAACAACAAAGTGTGTTAAACGAGTTACGCATTAAGTATTTGACAAAGATACTATTGAGTGACACAAACACATACAGGTCAAAAATCATTGCACAAACAGCTAAGTTTGCAAAAAAGACTAATGAAGAAATAAAAGATTTGCTCGACAAGGGATGGGAAAAAAGGGGAGAAAGGATATAGTACTTCAAGGATTGGAAAAAGAAGTGTAAAACTTAAAACTTAGTTTTCTATTCATAATTAGTATAAGTTTAGATGCACTTTAATTTCTTTAAGAACATATACATGCTTGTTATGTTACAATTTGATGTTAGTTTCTATATCAAATATAATGAACTTTACTAAATACTTAAAAGATGTTTATATTTTCATGTGAATGTCTACATGTATGTTATACAATTACATGTTTTATTAAAAATATGAAAATTTACATTGTTTATATGTTAACCTTGTGAAAATTTAATATGTCAGATTCACAATGTGAATTACAGTACATATTATAACATGTATATTTTATATGTGAGGTTAACAATGTGAATTATGGTACATATAGATCATTAGAACAATTAATTGTTGAGATTCACAATGTGAATTAAATTACATTAAGACAATCTTTAACATGAAAATTTTATATATGAGATTAACAATAATATACATAAATTAAATCATTAGCATGAAATTTTTATTAGAAAACATTCAAAAAACTAACAATAAAAAAATATCTTTAACCAAAAACACTAAATTTGAAAAAAAAATATTCTATTATTAGAAATAAAGTCTAAAACAATAAATATCAAAATTAACAACAATATTTCAACATTTCTAACCATTGAATGATCATTACAAAAATCAAATCTTATTTTAGTAGTCTTAAAAAGAAAAAATTAGAAACAATCAGCCTTCTGTAACCTCAAATTCTAAATCAGACTTCTTTAACCTCAAAATGCAACTCCTAGCATTGTGATTTGGTTTATGACATAAACTGCACAACCTATAACCCTTTTTAGATTTCTCAATCACTTTCTCTCTAGTGCTCTTGATTCTTTTACCACTGGCCCATCCCTTTTTTTTCTGATCCCCTCTGGATTATGAATGTTGATAACATCAGGTACTGCAGCTCCAATAATTTTTTCAATGTGAACTGATCTATTCGAAGATGCCCTTGATGAGGTACATAAAGGAATACCACTATCAACCTCCTGAAGTTGCTTTATATATTTAGCCAACTCATCCTCATTATTTGCTATCTTGTTAATGGACAAACGAAGAATAGCATACGCATCTTGAATCAAACATTCATTTTTACTGCCTTTATGAGGATATGAGTACTTTTTTCTCAACAATCCATCAGCTATGATATCTTTTCCCCATCTCCTCAAAATGAAATTTGATGGAATTTCATCATACTCTTTCATATTTAATATGAAAAACATATGACGACATGACAATCCTTCCTGGACAAAAAGCATGCAGCTACAACTGATGCTAATGCTATCACCCCTTCTACTAAATACAACCTACAAAAATTATCATTAATAAACAAATTAATATGTGAATAAGAAATTCTATCTCATACCATTCGATAAAAATTATACAAATTAACATCGATTCACATTATTAATCAACAAGACATTAGAAATCATAATACTATAATATAAATATGTACTTCAAATCAAATTCATAAAAAAAAAATACATATTCCATACTAATCTAAAAATTTATAACTCTATAAAAATTCACACTGTGAATTAGCAAAACATCCTACATTCACAGTGTGAATTTTTAAACTACATTTTATATTTAATAAAATGTATTAGGACAAATAGACATACCTTGTAACGAGTATTAGGACAATGAGAAGGAAGACTATTTCGATAAAAATCATCAGAATCTTCATCCTCATTCACATTTTTATCAATCAACTTTTTTTTCTTCTTATCTCTCAAAACATAAACTTCGCTTTCATCTTCAATAACTACAGATTCTTGAACACAATAAAACACATATTTGTATAACTCTTTCTGAATGTCCAAGAAAATATTATGTGTATAAATTTTCGATGCATGCTTTTCAATAGCCAAAGGAGTCCTTAGCTTGGGGGTAGTAGTTGTGGACTGATAATCTAATAAAGATTGATGATACCTTTGCTTCTCCATTGCACTATCAAACGACATCATGAACTTCACCAAATTTGATTTATGATGCAAAAAATGTGAAAAAGCATAATTCAGACTCTCTGATCTTGAAGTAGTTCGCATCAAACCAGAAAGTTCAAGATCTCTCATAAAAGCCGGAATCCATAAATCCCTTATTTTAAAAACAGACCTTAACCAGTCATTTTCTTTTAGATGAAACTTATCTAACATTGTGGACCACGAACTTTCAAAATCTTGTGGAGAACATTGAAGATTCCATATAATATCAAAAAATGTCTTCTGGAAGTCCGGATGGTTATAAACATCAATAGGAATCTAAAAAAAAGAAACACATAAGAATCATTACATATGTTGAATATTTGATGTAATTCATAGTAACATAACATTTGTTTAACATTATGAATTCACAGTGTGATTTATGATTTAGATTTGTTCCTTTCATTATATGCAAATTTACATTGTGAATTCACAATGTGCTTTATGATCTATATGGTTATAAACATATATAGGAATCAAGAAACAAAGAATATACCTTTTCCTCAAGTTTTTGAGTGATGTGCCACATGCATAGTCTATGGTTCGATTCAGGAAAAACAAAATTAACAGCTTTCTTCATTGATGAATCCTGATCTGTTACAATCATCATGGGTGGCTTGAAAAATGCTTTATGAAACACTTCAAGCAACCACACATATGCATCTGCTGTCTCACGAGCTAGTAAACCAGCAGCAAAAGTAACACAACGCTTGTGGTAGTCAACTCCAGTAAAAAGAACAAATACCATAGAATACCTGAATTTTTTTTTGATAAGTATTATTAAAAAGAACAAATACCATAAAAAGAACAAATAAGGATTAGGAATTACTTGTTTGTCTGATAAGTAGCATCAAAAGATACTACATCTCCAAATTCCTTATAGTTAGCTTTCAAAGTATCATCAGCCCAAAAAAGTCCAGTAAGATGATCATCAACATCTTTTTGGACCTCAAATGAAAAATTAGAGAAACACAATTTTCTATTTTTCAATATATCCACAACCATTTGGGAATCTTTGACACCAATTTTAGAATTCAAATCTCTATGAAAATTTTTAAAGTCAACTGCAGTACCTCCACTAGAATCAAAGCCACCCTTCATACTACTCACCAAGTTATAAGCTTTTGAAGCACCAATGTTACAAGTACCAACCTTATGTATAAAGGATTCATCAAGAAAATCCATTGTCCTATTAATCCTTAATAAGTGCAACTGATCTTGAGCAACAAGTTCATGGTTGTGATCTTCAACAAACACATAAATGTAGAACATTAAAGAACATCGGAGATTCTTGAACTTTGAAACAGCAGGGCATCCGTTCTTCTTAGAAGAAGTTCTCCTTCCCTTAACATCTGAAAATTTCACATTAATATTTTCATTCTTGAATGACTCCGTGAAACCAGATCTACTACATGTCGAATATCTAATACGAATTGTGCCATCATTGTATCTTTTTTGACTTGACATATTCACATCAAAACCAGATTCTTTACCATAAGTCTTGTAAAAGTCAAGACCAATGTCCAACGAATCAAACAACAATCCTTTGAAAGGCTTCTTATGTATCAACTTATCATAAGGAACAAGCTTAAAAGTTTCAGTATTGTAGAGCTCAAAATCAAAACTATAACAAGAATTACTGTTATTTGAATGATCAATATTCATACTTGAAGATGATTGATCATGAACTGCAAAACCAAACAAAACATCTATTTTATTACATTATATATAAAATGTGAAATTTATATTAAGAAAAAAAAAAACTTACGTGATTGTTCATTAATAGTTGAATGCAAATATGAACAAGAATTCACAGAACTCATAATGAATCGTCGATGACCTGGAGTTTATATGCAGATTAGAAATTTAGAATTGATAATTATACAAAAAAGGAAACAAATAAACAAGATAATCACAAAAATTTTAAATATATGCACAAGATAAGATAAGATTCTCAAAATCACTAAAAGTTTGGAAAAAACTTAAATATCAGAAGATGCACAAGATATAATTGATTATCTAAATGTCGAATATGCATTACAGACGAATGATTACAAAAACGATCGAATGAAAAACAGTATACTCAACATACGACATAAAATTAGCAAATTAACAATAAAAACATAACAATTTGAAAATTAAACGGTAAAATCAAGAGAATTTTACAATCAGACGATTACAATAACAATGCATCGGAAGAAAAACGGTAAAATCAAAGTCTATAATTGACCTAATAATCATAAACGAAAGATAATACCTGATTATTAGCTGAAATCTGAAGAAAGTATTAGTAAATTGGATGAAAAGGTTGAGATTTCGAACAACAAGCGAGATTTTGGATCGATCAGTGTAGTGTTAGAAGATGAAGGACAGTAACAGAAGACGCTGAAATCAGAAGACGCTAACGGAGACAAACAGGATGTTAAATGAGATGCTGAACTTACCAAAATGCCCCCTCCGTGTTGTTTTTGGTTAATTATGGATTAATGGCCAAGATTAAAACAAAATAGATGATTAAGATGGGTTCCTTGGTTCTTTGATTCATATTGGTTCTCTATTGAACTTTTCCCTATATATATATATATATATATATATATATATATATATATATATACTATATTATTATACAAATCTTACTATTTCTAAAAATAGATTTAAGACGTCCAAAAATTTTA